TGTTAGTCTGGATGGAGATTAGCTCTCAATATTGCTACCTTTATAGAAAATATGCATATAAAAACTTATTTTTTCCATTGCACGTGGCTCGCCATATTGAGATGTGTATAAGAGACAGGGTTTATCTCTCTCATTGTTCAGTCATTTTTTAAATTATTCCATTTTTTTCATTCCATTCAACTTTTAAACTTTCTTTCATTCCATTCAAATTTCAACCTTTCATATTTTTTCTATCCAATATTTGATTCATCTTATCTTGTCATTATTCCTCCATCCATTATTCATTCTAGTTTCTAACCCACTCATCCCATTTGTTAATCCTTCATCTTTCCCATTCAGCCTCCATTCCATGATCCGCACCCATATAATGTGAGTCCTCATTTCATCAGGAGATTTTGCCATGATTCTGATAAAAGCGCCCTCACGAAAAATATTTTCAATACAATTATTCTAAAATTCATAGTTTTCATTTACTGTAAAATAAATGTTTTTATTGAGTTTTTAAAATAAATTGGTGTCTGAATTTCAGATATTTCAATTGTAGCTATTTTTTTTTTTTTTTTTTCAAAATATAAAAAGAAAAAATGAAAAAAAAGATTCATTGTGACGGCACTGTTATTGAAATTTTACAATGCAGGTGCATGTTGTTGCGATTAGAATAGTTGGGTTAGTTAATAGCGAGATTCTCTCTTTTATGTAGCTGAAGCTTACACTGAGCTGAATACCATTATATGTTGTTTGTTTATATTTATTGCTTTCTATTATAAAACACAAGAACAATAAGCAACAAAGTCGAATTTACAAATTACAAAAGAATAAGACAATAAAAAGCAGTTCCAAAAATGGGAAGCAATGGATAGCTCTAATAAGCCTAATGTTTGTGTCCATAGAGGTCTCCAACCCAAAAATAGAAACATTTAAACAAATAATTAAACAATTAAAATTTAAAAGAAATGGAAAAAATAAAAAAAAAGTGGAAAAAATTGTCTGCATATCTGCATTTTCATGTACCATTGTCATGGGGCTAATACCAGCAGTGGCTCCAGAAATTTGCTGTAAAGGGTTCCGACATATCCAACGGAGAGGTCTGAACCAAGGGGCCGACTAGAGCCTCGGTCAGGGTCTCGGAATAAAAATTCCCCAGTATAGTTCACAGGTAACGTTATTTGGACAGGCAAATTATTATTTTTTTAATGTTTGATCCGACATCCTCCTTGTTCTGGCCTGTCCGACCGGGGGGTAGGGCAATGCATCCCTGCCCCTACTGGTGCCACCCCTGGCTAATACTGCTGTTTGCTGCTTGCATTTTTAGTTACTGCATGGAAAATCATTTCTAAACTCTTATAGATTTTTCATTCACATGAAATATGTAATTATACTGCTACCTGTAATATTTTTTTTATTATTCATTCTAAAATGTGTGACTTGCCTTCAACATGAGTCCCCTATCATTCAGTACATTTGTAATATAACAGGTGAAATTACCAATAGAAGTAGAGGTGTGGTCTTAAGAAAAAAAAACAAAAAACCAGAATTTATTTTTTTTAAAAAGAGAGATTTCAGTGATGAACCACTAGTATTTAGAATTTCAAAATGTTAAAATCACATTTTGAGTTAATATACCAACAAATAAATTAATTTATAAAAATATGCTGAAGTACAAGTCTCCCTTACAATCAGAGACCCTCTAATTAAAGTCCACTCTTTGGTCCCAAATTAACAAATTTCTTTTATATTTATGATGCTAAATAATTAGAGACCAAACATGCTGCTAAAGATGGTGCAGAAACCCTGGCCCAAAAAGTGGTTTTTAATGCGAGGTGTGACCTGCATTAAAACAATAAAAATAAAAGATACATCTTTGCTAAAATCCAGTGCCCGAAATGTATATCTCCATTCAACGTTAACAGCAACATCACTTTGTGATGGAAGTCACATATTTTGTATAGTGTTTTTTTTTTTTTTTTTTTACAGAAACTTTTGTTAAACTGGATAGTGCTTTTTTTTTTACAGAAACTTTTGTTAAACTGTAGTGTTTGGATTATTGATCTATTAGACTTAATGCTTAAATATGCACCGCAGTGCTTATAAAATTTTTAGAAGGCTTACGTGCAGCGCTTGCTCAAAAAATATTGGCATTGGTTCCCATGTTACCTATCTCACATATTTTCGTAGTTTAGTAGGCCTATCATAGGTCCTGTGTCATTAAAATAGACATTTATAAAGAAATGCTTGTGTCTTCATTGTGTTATTTATTTTAACACTGTATATATAAAACCCTCTTTCTCAAAGTGTTTCATTACACACAGGGTAATTATACTCTCGGTTAAGCGCCGCAGTGCTTACTGGAGACCGGCGGTTAGCTAAAAGAAAATCAGGTTTGGTGTTGCGCTTATTCGAGTGCGGTGCTTATTCAAGCATTTACAATATCTCTAAAGATTGTAGAAATTGTATAGTTGCTTGAATCGTTTTTGTTTCAAATTTTAATATATTTCTTATATTTGTTTCTTTCATTGTAGATCTAATCCGGTATATTTCGATGACCAGTCCGTTCAAGCGTAAGTATTAAACTCATTAATTTACCAGTTAATTAATGTTACAATGATAATTAAATGCCTATTTGTGTTAAACCTTAGTCTAGAGTTCATACTCCAATTTTCAAGGTAGTTTTAGGCTTATTAGACCACATCCATGCATCCTCACAACTCCCTTCCTTACAAGAGACACTTCTTACTGGCAGTTTTATTGACTAGTGAGCCATCATGGAGAATTAGAGTTTGACCTGTTCATTGAATGCAACCCAAATCTATTACAAACATGTTAATAAAAAAAATTTGTATATTTTAATAGGCCATTTAGCTTTGAGATGAAAATTATAACTAGAAAAATTGTCCTCGTCAATTATAAAAAGGCAAAAAACCCCATTCCTACCGCCCAAGTTTATGTATTCAGTTATGAAATAAGCATATACCATATCAACGACTTTTTATCAACATACACTATATTGAGGCTTGGCATCCCAAAACTATGTGTACAGGTTGTTAAATGTTAAGCTGAGAATAAGAATGTGGTGTACTTTAGTACAGAGAAGGTGCATTACTTTTACTCATAACTTTGGCAAATTATAACTTGTTAGTCTGGATGGAGATTAGCTCTCAATATTGCTACCTTTATAGAAAATATGCATATAAAAACTTATTTTTTCCATTGCACGTGGCTCGCCATATTGCGTACTCTATGGAATTGCATCAGTGCAGTGTGCGTCCGGCTTAAGCCTCTCAAAGCTAGAGACAAATGCCGAGCACCCACTGTACGACGGTCAGCCGATGAATCCAACTCCACTCAATAACAAGAATTAAAAACGATCTGTTGCACGTGTGCGTCGTGGCATTGCGTTCTCTATAGAATTACGTCAGCCGATGATTGTCTGGCACAGTGTCTGGCTGTAGTTTATAAAGCATCTCCATAGTAGTAAATACTCGCATTGCAAGAAAATGTAATTTTTAGAAATTTGTAATATAGAAATCAACCCACATCACCTCATTATTTATTAAATAAACAAAATATTTTTTTGGATCCACAAATGAAAAATGAAATATTAGTTGTAATTTATCCTCATTTTCTTTCTCTGTTCTCTTTTCTTTTGCCATTATGATGATATCTACTGCACATTCATCTTTTAGAAGTGAGCAGTTATTCCCCAAGTAAGTCCATTCATTCATCTAGAACATTCATTCTTTCTGCCATTCCTGCTGAGTTTTCTACATTCACGCAGTGGTATATCTAGGGGAGGATGTGAGGGGTGCATGCTCCCCCGAAAAAAACTTGTGAAACTTGTGCCCCCCCCCCCCCCCAACCAATTGAAAATGTTCAAAGTAAATAAGTCTCAAGTAGATAATAATCACCTAATATAACATTTATTTTGTGTGCTACTTCCCCTTCATTTAATCATCGAGCTCCCTTACTTAAACTTCGCACCCCATCAGTTCCTACCCCCCCCCCTCCCATTTCAAAACACCTTAGATATGCCACTGCATTCACAGTGCATTTATAATTTCAATCAAAATAGTATCATCTAAGTAACTATTATACCTTTGAATAATTAATAAACTACTTTAATGCAGCTTTTTTTCTTCTCACATATATTGCTAATTTTTTTTTTTTTATCTTTATTTCTGTCATATTTGTTCTAGTTTTTATGAGTTTTAAAATTATATTGGGTTTTCTGTTTTTTTTCTCCAGTGGAGCACCAACATTTCTAAATGCAAGATCAAATCATGTAAGTTCTTAATAACATTTTATTTTTTATTATCTACTATATTTATTATATGTATTTTAATGATAAATATATATAATATATATATTCATTCATATAGACATTCATATAGACAGCCTCCTGATGAAGTCCACTGTGTGGACGAAAGTTAGAGAATAAATTATATATTGTTAGTCTCAAAAGTGCTACTGTTTTTTACTTTATACTTTCTATACTGTACAGACTAACTTAAGTTTCTTTCTATTCTTGCAGGTTCAACGTTCTCAAGTGGAAGTGTATGATAATCCGGCGTGTACGATAGAAAATGGGGAAGTCCACCCTCCCCAGAGGTATGCCTTTCCCAAATAAATTTATTGATACATAATTTTTCCATTATAATTTATCATTAATATTGTTATTGTATTATTTCTGTTGTTTTTTTCATCCTGATTATTGATGTTATTCATACAGTGACAAACTTGTATGTTCATATTTATTGTAATTTTAACCTTTGACCTTAATTGCAGAGAAGAAACGGAGTCAGAACAAGCTGAACCAGGCAGTGGACCTCCAAGTTACACAAGTGAGGAGCAGCCAACACAACTTGCATCCCCATCCCATCATTATACATCAATATCTGAAACCCCAGACTTCATCGATGCCGACACTCTTCCAAAGAAAGAGCCTTTACTCTATGATTCTCCACAGGGTGATGGTTACTCATCATCCCCAGAGGGTCATAACATTTTATCAACACCCCCTCCCCAAAGTCCCCCTAGTCCTGCTACTCCTCCACCTATGGCTACTCCAGTATCTCTGCAGGGGGTGTATATTACCCCAGCAAAAGATGTCACACGATATGATCCTCCAACAATGTCCAGTTTTCAGCCTATTGATCAAGAACTCCCTCCACCACCACCGCCACCAGTATCACCACCCGTATCACCACCCCCACAGAATAATATTCCTCCCCCAATTGATTTTCCCCCACCCCCTGAGTATCCACCACCCCCTGAGAACTACAGAGAGGATGATGAAGAATCAAGTTACGGAAAACCAAGTATTAGTTCTTGTACGGAAAGTGAAGAGGTAAGAATGATATCATGTATTTTATCACGTTCATAATTCCACCTGTCACTTTTAGGCCCTCATTAAGGCAAGACTCTTTATACCTTGTTTAGCGAAACTTATTTTTGTAAACGTCAGAGGATTAAATTTATGTAAATAAATATAATTTTGTTTTCTAATATTTTAGCAAAATGGTTTGCCAAAGGCATCTAGGTGAAGGACAAATAAAAATAAAATTTTATTGATGAATGTAAACATTTTATTGGATTGAAAAGGCTTTAAATTTATATAATTAAGGAAGAAATATTGATATCTTATTTTGGGAGATTTCAAGGCAATGCAGAGCATAATAAAAATAAATAAAAAGTTTCATTTTTTTTGTCGTGACAGGTGCGATGCGCTAACTTGTAAAAATAAAATTTTATATTTATTCAAATTATCATTATTGGCGTGCGGTGGGTTCGTCAAACAGGGTATAAAAAAAGTCTCGCCTAAACACATCTTTTCGAACCTTCTACGATGAGAATCCTTTCTTAATGGTCTGCTTTGACAGTAATAGTTCTTTGATGAGGCTAGGGTTTCTGTTAGCACCCAATCAAAAACTTTCTGTTAGTTTTTGTAAATGTTATATGTTTTGGGATGTGAAACTGTGGTGAGCATAGGTAGCTAGCTAGCTAGAGTTCATAGTACCTGCCAGATATGTAATGTTGGGTAGACATAAAAGAATATTCACTATTTAAAATGGTTATTCACTTGGGCAGCACATTAGGTAACTCCAAATAGGTCATTATAGATTTTGCCTACCATACCGTACTTCCTTCTATAGACATATATCCATTGCATGGTCCATCCCTTTCTTTTATATTTTTCATTTGTATCGCTTCATTTTCATTCATGAAAAATAGGAGTATCAACTATAATCTAAAAGGTATTGTCATTATCATTTTATCATTGTTAACTGCATGCTACTTTTTCCCATAGTCATTCATTTTGTTTACAAATTCTTCATTACTGTATGTGTGAATGTTGTAATGCTCATAGCCCATTTTTAAATTGCTTTGAGAATTAGCAACGTCCTGTTGTATGCTCCATTGCCATAGTTTACTAAACAAGTATGTTTTCATCTAAAGAATCCTGCTTATTCTTATGTCTGCTTCAAAGCTGAACAACCTCAACCAGTGCTCCATATGTTAGCAGAGTGAAAGCGAATCTCAATTTTTTTTCCAAACGTTTTAAACTTTAGTTTTCTTTTATAGCAAGTTTATTTGCTTATTAAGAGACAAAACTAAATCATGAGTGTAGGCTGGGTTTTTTTTTTTTGGGAGGGGGAGCGGGGTGGGGTGAGTGAATTAGGAATGTGGAACTAAATTTCTATTCCAATGAAAACTTAAAGGTCATTTTTAGTATTTTAACCCCCTCCCCCGCACACACTGAACTCCCAGCCTACACCCATGTAAACTATGAAGCTTAAGGGTTAGATGCTGGTTTTAGCGGTGCAAAAAATGGTGATATTGCCATGGATTAAACTCAGGACTGCAGACTGAAGGGTGACTACCTTTCAAAAAAAAAAAACAAAAAAAAAAACATAGCCCCATTTCTAGGAAATGGTGTTTCAATTAATTAACATAATTCCTTAACGATTTTGCTTTAATTCAAAATTCCATAACTAAACTGGTCAGTTCATTTAAAGGGTAGATGGTACTAGATTGGTATTATTCTGCAATTATTAAACTATTGATTGATTATTGATATATTGATTATTTTATTTATCAGTTGATTAATTGGTTGTTTAACTTTATCAATTTTTTAATGTATTTGTTGTTCAATTGTTTGATTAATGTATTAATAATTTTATAAATTGATTGATGATAGATCAATTCAGTTATTGAGGTTAACTTACCAATTGATTGACAAAATTAGATTGACTTTGAGTAGATTGATTGTTTGATCAAGTGTTCCAGCTTAGCATCAGTATTGCATTTCAATAAGCCATTTTAGTTCTGCATCTTAACAGCGGTGGCACCAGAAATTTGCTGACAAGCGGTCAGACATGTTCCGGCAGGGCAGTCCAAACAAAGGGGTCTGACTAGAGCCTTGGTCGATGGCCCAGAATAAAAAAAAATCGCTGGTAGGGTTTACAGGGAGAGTTTTTATGGCTTTGTTTGGTCCAAATTGCGCATTTTTACCACAACAATATTGGCAATCAAAATAACGTTATTCGGCAAATTATTTTTTTCATTTTGGATCCCAACAACCTAGTCATGGCTTCGAATGGCAGTGGTCCAGGCCTGTCCAACGAGGTGGGAAAATACCCCTGCTGGCGTCATACTGCATCGCACATTAGCAGCAGTTTTAAAAATTTAGATTGATGTTCAAAATTAGAAAGTTTTTTTCTATTATTTAAATAAACTGCTGTAGTAATGTTGTCTTTCCTTAAATATATTCACTGCCTTCATATGTAGAAGAATATCCCCCTATTAGGTATTATTTATTTTATATTTTACCTCTCGATTTTAAGTTCTTTCTGTTTTTTTTATACTTGTTCCATAATTGTGTTTAATATCCTTGTTTGTTTCCAATCTGAAATGTTGTTGTCTATCTTAAATTCTATGGAACATATCACGCCTCACAATCTTCACACTGTCACCAGAACATCCAACTAACCCTTTCATAACAGACCCCACCCTAACATCTCACCACCTTCCTGCTAACACCCCATCACTCGCATATCCCAACACACCACACTGACAAAACCATCAAAACAACCCAGAACCATGCATATATATGTTTTCCTACCATATCCACTCTAATACAATTCTATTATAACTTTCCACTTCCACCACAGCCTGTACATATAATTTTCATTTTCTACAATATCCCATTATTTCAATATCATATATTTTAGGATAAAAGGTAAGTGCCATAATACTTCTATGGATCTGAACAAACATTTTGTGTATCTTTTTTTTTTAAAATCTTACTAACATATCTAAAGTATTCTCATGGAATAACTTGTCTTCATAAATATTACTATCCAAGTATATGTATAAAATAATGTTATCAAACGATTTTGTGTTAAACTTTATTCTTCTCTTCTATATTATTCTTTATATTAGAAGCATCAGGACAACATAAACGAATTACCTTATCGGATGATGAAGCCACCTGTCCCGTTTGACCAACCATCCGAAGGTGATGTTGTTACTCCGTACGGATCATGGAATCTGAAAAACCTCAAATTGAATCACATCGAAAGGAGAGACCAAGATAGAACGACGATAATTGCAACTTACAAAGTAAATCGCACAGAATCTGCTAAATCAAATGGACAGCAAACGACTGATGCAACGTCGGTGGGAGATTCAGGAGTAAACAGCGAGCATGGCTCTCCATCGTCGCATTCACCACAAGAGGGCAATGTTAGTTCAAATGATGTGGACTCTGTTGTGAGGAGAGATGATTGGGGATTAGACAATATACAGATAACAGCACTTTGATATGAGTATCAGAATTTCCAACCTCTGGAACTCAAAATTCGGGAAGACAATGGACGTGCCCTGGTGAAGTGTGCCCCCATCCACCCCCAGGAATATTGAAAAGTTTTTTTCATACATGCATTCTGATCTGTCGAGGTTTTAGCAACTCGCAAAGGAATTGACACAGAAATACTCTATTATTGGTACGGATCTAGTTTTAGCTATTTTTGGGTTGCCTTCTGAAAATTCGGGAGTCCTGATTGAATCAGGAAGGTTGGAACATATGGAGGATTTATAAACAGCTGAAATAAAAGAATAAGGACAATAAAATATACAGTACAATAATAAAATATGGTGACACTTAATTCTTTTTAACTAAACACAATCATCTACGAAACTGTAAAGATAAAGTTGCATGAAGGTAATAAATAATTTTCTGTTTTGTTGTTGCTGGTCAATTTATAGTCATTATTTTACAATAACAAGTTTGAGGTTATTTTTTTAAACTACATAAAAACAATGGTATATCTATTTCAAAAGAGAAAAATGATAACATTTTGAATATAGGAACATATGATTTCTTTAATTATTATTTTCTTATTTGATTGTTTATTTGTATATCAGCCCTATTGGAAAAGTGCAATTATATGTTATACATCCAGTAATATGGTATAATTATTTGGTGAAACATGTTAATAGGTATTTTGATTTTCCATCCATTTTCCAATTAGATAAATGAATGTTCAATGATTGGTATTGTTTGGATACTAATTAAGTGTTAAATTAAATTTTCCTAATAAACATTTTATATACATTTCTTATGAAATCATACAATATGAATAAATGACATTACATTCCAATTGTAGAGTTTAGTAATGGGAGAAATGTCTAGCACACAAAATATGGATTGGGGGAAATATGGTTTTAGAGGTTTGGTCATTTCAATAAATTATAATGTACATGCTTTAAAATAAGCTATCAATATTCTTTTAATCAGTCGCATATTTTACATAAATATATATTTAAATACATATTTAATAATGTTATTTATGATGATTTATGTTATTTATTTCAATTTGATAACTACTGTTATTCTTTTAAATAATTGTTATACACACTGAAATAATAAAACTCAACAATTAGAAATGTTTATAATCACAAGAATACATTTTAATTTTTTTTAAATTGCCTTTATGTACAGTACATATTTTCAGTTAACATTAAAATATTATGATGATTAGCAAGTTTATTTTTGGGTCGGTTGGGTTTTCGCCTTACAGGCATAACGTCAACTCATGGAACCTGCAGTGGCCTTTGTGAGATTGTTAATATTATTTCACGATTTATTTTAAAATGATAATGAAAATCCAGAATAACAAACAAGCACAAAAACTAAATACAATACAGTGCCTAGAGAAAATTGCTAACACATTTTCATTCAAGAACTTATAAAACAGTATTTTGCTTTTAGTTAGTGCCTTTCATAGTCACTGGCATGGGGAGTCAAAGTTTTCTTTTTTGAAAGCATAGAGTAGGCTTGTAGAATTAGCGTAAGCATAGCCTCTTGATAAAACTTACGCCTCGGCGTAAGCATAGACACTGCATTTAATTAAAGGTAAATAATTATTGTATCATGTTTCTACAAAAGAGTTATGTTGTTGCCTATGCATTGATGTTGCCCTGGAGTGGCACCTGCATTTGCACTACGTGGGTTGGGGTAAGATTCCAATGTCCCCGACAAGAGCCAAGTGGGCGTGGCTGGGCATTGCTCGAAATCTTTCAGAAGTGGTCTACCAGAGAGGGAGGAATCCCCCAAAATTGATGGCAATTTAGGGGGATTTTAAAGGCTTATTTGATCGATTTTAGAGTCTTAATATGTTAAAAAGTACAGTACTCCTGTTCTCCTGCTGGTGCCACCCTTATTATTGACTAATATTTTCTTCTTTTTTTTTTTTTTTGAGTCAAATATAAAATAGGGAACTTTCGATTTGTGCGACGACGCAACGCTAGAACGGAATCACTCGTGCGAGACCTACCTGGCGTCCTACGTTCACTGTATACGTAGATTTGGCCAAATTGCGTTCCAGAATCTGCTCGACGAGGTGACCTTAACGTTTTCGCATGCGCAGATGACTTTTATTGACATCATTACGTTCTACCGTCGTCGTGCAATTGAAAACGCATACGGCGCCCTCGATCGAGCACAACACCCTGGGCAGTATGTGGAATTCATCCAATGATTTTTATTTGGCTGTACAACAGCAGTAAGAAAGGCCTATCTAAATACTATTTATAATGATCTTCGGAGAAGCGTTTAAAGTGTTTCACAATATTAAAGTGTATGCATCTTTATATAATGTAAATCAGTGCTGTAAATATAAAATTGAAAAATATATATATTGATAAATTTTGGACAACAGTTGTGACATTTTGTAACTTTATCTGAACATCTGATAGAATGGTTTGTTTGATCTTTTCATTTTATCTTCATCACATTATATCCTAAGCCTGTACATGTAAATGCAATTTGAAAACCTAAATATAAGATATTTAATAAAAAGAGTCTATATTTTCAATTTTAAGGGGGAATTTCTGCTCTCTGTTTTAGTAAATTTGTATTGTTGGTATCACGGATTGATAGTTGGTCGTATACTTAGTTTCTGCAAGTTTGGGTATTTTTCAATAACAAATGTTTAAACGAATTTTACAGTTTTCAATAAGCAATTTAACATGAACATTTTCTTGTCATTGTAAAGTTACTTGCAGATTCAGAGTGTAAATTAATGAGCCAAATGACATTGTAGATAAAGTTTTAGTGTAGTGTATTTATTATTATTTATTCATTTATGTTACTACGAGAAAAAGAGTTGTTCAGAAGTTTTCTTGACAGATGTTAAAAATTAAGAATAATTAATAAGCAGGACAACAAAATCATCCCACCAAATAGGACAATAATTAAGATTGAAATACATACATTTTGATTTCATGTTTAAATGTTTACCCATGGTGAAGCTTGGTTTCCATACAATCGCTACCCGCTATCCCACAGCTTTTGGTGATGTTGATTGGTTGGTGGTATCGGGAGCCTTCCCGATTACCGCGTCGGGGACTGCAACGCTAGTGCAATGATTGCAGTTAAAAAAAAAAAAAAAAAACTGAAGCGATAGTGTGGCGATTTTAGGCAAACTAGACTTAACATTTTGCTTTGTGAATGGGAAATGTTTACTCCTTTCAGAAGCAAAATTGTAGTTATTTGATTTTGTTTCATTAAAAGTATATACAGTACGCCTGTATTAGTGTAAATGTTCACTTTCTGATGTCTATTTCTTGAATACTTACTAGGATGAACCCATATATGCCTTTTTTTTTTTCTTTTATGATGAATAGGCCTATAATGGAATCGGTCAACCCAGACGACAACATACAGTACTGCACTTCGTAATTAATATGTGGTTTCTGCTTGACAGTTCCCTTCAAACGGCGATTGACTTTCAAGAAGATAAATTGGTTTAGGATAAATTGCAAGCCAGATATGTTTCATGACATTCCTCTTGACGAATTTGAAAACACCAATATGCTTGACGAATTCTTGTAGATTAATTTTGTATGAACTACACATGCATTTATAGCGCCTCTACATCAAGGTCGTAGCGCTGATAAATAAATGTTGTATAATCTCTTGTTAATAAAAAGAATAACAAGTAGTCAGTCCAAGGAAGTGGAAGGTCATCAACAGATAAACGTCTACAGAACAACTTCTGAGAGAACGTTGCTGTCTAATTTTTTAAAATACATTGATGTTACCATGTTAATACCAATGAGTCGTTTAAAATGACATATAATATTTGATTAAGCTGCACGAGTAATGAAAAGTGTTATTTTAACTTGAGTTACATACTATGACAATTTTAATTATTTAGTTAGGCCTGGGTTTTGCATAATTACCGGCCTACAAGTAGGCCTACTAAAAACGCTTTCTGAGAAAAGCAAAGAGTAAGGAAAAGCGCGTTTTTCTTCATCACTGATCAAATGAAACAGAATGACAGTTATTTTCAAATTAAGAGAAGAGCTAAGAATAGGCAGCTCTAAAATACTGGATGCCATAAGACCTGCCAAAATGGCAGAGCACCAAATGAATGTAAAAATGAGCTAGTTATTAATATTAGGCATAGTAATCGGCAGGTTCTTGATTACAAGGCTAGACCAAGTTAATTACATATGTAATGCCGAAATAATAATAATAATAATTATTATTATTATTATTATTTTTATTATTATTACCTGTACGTTAAGGGGAACTTAGACAAAGGGGAAATAACACAAAAGATATTCCCCTTGGGCTAGTTATTATTTATAGGCCTAGTAAATAGTATCTGTAGGTTCTTTATTACAAGCCTTAGACCAAGGTAATTAATGCTGAAATGATTATTATTATTATTATTATTATTATTACTACTATTACTATTACTATTATTATTAATTATTATTATTACCTGTACCTTAAGGGGAACTTAGACAATGACTATTACTATTACTATTATTATTAATTATTATTATTACCTGTACCTTAAGGGGAACTTAGACAATGGAGGATTAGAGAACAATTAAAAAAACGACGTTAAGGGGAATTAAATAACACAAAAGATATTCCCCTTGGGCGATTATTATTTATAGGCCTAGTAAATAGTACAGTATCTGTAGGTTCTTCATTACAAGGCTTAGGCCAAGGTAATTAATGCTGAAATTATTATTATTATTATTATTATTATTATTATTATTATTATTTAACATTAATTACATTACAATGATAGTCCGTGAAATTTCACGTAGGTAAACATAGAAAGAGCAATAATAGTAAAACTCGAGCGTCACGACATTGCGAAGTATGTGCTCCTGTTTCTCGTATCGTACTCACTCGAGTCAATCCGAGATGGCCCGAGTGAAGTTTCATGCAAATGTTTCGTACGGAAAAAAAAAATCGCGTACAGGGCGCCCTTCTGTGATAGAGATCCTGCTGCAGACTGGCAGCGAGACATAAGTCAGCCACGCTTTGCAAAACAGTGCATTATGTAACTAGTATCGAATTAATGCATGCATGATGCAGACGTCTTTGTAATGGTGTGATTATGGTGATAGTTGAAAGTGACTATGGTCAGATATTTAAATTTGAATATTCAACAATCCCTAAGTCATTCTTAAGTCATTCACTTTTTTATTTCATGGTTTCTCAGAAACTACATACCATTGCACTGCCCCATCTCTCAAACAAGTAATAACCACGAGGGTTCGAGAACCACAAACTCTATTAACCTTACTTTCAATTTTAATGGCATTGACCCTTTAATGTGTGTAATGATATGAAATCGTAAGAGGACTATAAAAGTCCTGCCGTGCAGGGCGCCGGTTTGGTTGGTTGGGGGGGGAGTGGCTTTATTAAACCCCCCCCCCCGATAATCCCATCGGCCAAGTCAACTCCCTTATCGGACTGCAGCAGTTGTTTATTTTTTATTTTTATTTTTTTGAACGAAATTTGAAGACGATTCAAGCACGAAAAATGACCAAAGTGGAAGGCAGAACCGCTGTGCAAAAGCACGGGATAGAAGATGAAGACAAAGGACTTGGTACAGACAGGGAGTTGTTATCCTGGTACAGATGTCTGTTTTTAAAAACAGAACAGGGATTTTCCTCGTTGACATAGTTGTTGAAATGATAGTATAAAGTAAAAAGAAAATCATAAAAAAAAAACTATCCTTGGATAATGATATGCTAGAAAAAGGAGGGGATATGGAAATTTAATTGAAATCCGAGATGCAATTCGTACTATTTTTTAGAAACGATATAGCGCCATCGTGCGTCAGCTAAATTTGCAAAATATTTGCTCACTCTTTAAATTGAGCAAATATTTTGATAGTCTAATATTTATCATTAATTCTGAGTAACATTAATTTAGATCGTAGAGGTATACACTATACATTATTTCATATCAATATGCTAAAAACTATATCGTATCATACATTATATTTTTGTTAATTAACTATAGGCCTAATGTATGAACAATTCAGTGTATTCGACATAAGGCCTCTAATTATATTATTCATCTATCTAATACTGTACAATAGAACCCCTATTGAGGGGACACCTTCAAGATCAAAATAGTGTCCCCTTAAATGAGTGTTCCCTAATTTTAATGTATATTTTCTATATTTCAAATCACTTTATATGCTGGAGGCCACTTTTGTTCAAGATACGACCTCGTGGTAATTCATAGGCAAACGAAGAGCGTGAACAGATTACATTATTTTATTGATAATTTTCACATGGAATATGCACATAGTATGCTAGCAAAACGATAATAAATTATCATAATTGGTCATTATTATTATTATTATTATTATTATTGCTACTGTCATTTATTGATCTGATATTAATTATTGTTATTGTTGTAATTATTAATTTTTTTATCATATTATTTTATTACTATTAGTATCATCATCATCATATTATTATTATTATTGTTATTATTATTATTATTACCATTATTATTATTATTATTGTTATTTAATGGTTATTCTTATTATTATTAAATTTTGATTTGGGTTTTGAGGGTTATAATTTCTTATATTTCAAGACTCTTAAGATGATTGATCAATCAATCGAGAAGACGTAGTAGAAACAAACAACAGTTGCTCTTTTGTTGAACTCTCATAGGATTAACGAAAAGCATGCTCGTCTGGTCTGCTTTTCCTCGTTCGTGTTTTGAAATCATCACCGACAGAATTTATTTTTGGTGATATCTCTTTCTGAAAATGGAATGTTGAAGAAGTCAAAGTATTCATTTGCTTTCAAATCCTGTTGAAAATAACTTTATGATCATTCATTACAGCGTTAAAAATGTTTTGTTGAAAGAAGGCTTTGTCAGTCCGAGTGGAATTGAATCATACTTGTTTACTGCGTACTAGGCGTAGATATTTCACCGGAATTGCGCACATTTGCATATGAATAGTACAGGCAATTTCACACTTACGCTCAGCCGCCAGCAGAATCCTTGTTTATGTTCATATTTATGCACAAAGGGAGCCATATTGCTTGGTGATAGATGGCTAAACCGGTCAATTTATATGTTCAAAAAAAGGATCGTTATTAGTGTCTTATAAGGTTTATAGCACATGGTGTTGACGAGGCAAAGGGAATGGAATGCTGACCAGACATGATGGGCCATTCGAGATGGATACTTACACTCATCATTGTCAATGTGTTTTCGCTGCCCATATCCTGTGATGTTGGAGGTGAGTGAACTTAAAAGTTTTCGGAAGAAACAGTGGAAGGATATTCTAGGCCTAGGCCTATGCTTATATAGCCTAGGCCCTAGTACTACTCTACGAGTTTACCACGACTTTTATAGTTAGTGAACGTTAAACAGTTTGAGTACAGTGCCATAAGTGGACCCTACCCTGTCCCTAGTAGTAATAATGTAGCACCTAGGCCTAGTTTATTATATGAATGAAATTATTTCGTCTTTTTTTTTTTGGTGTGTGTCTAGGCTCCTATGTGTGTTTGTGTGAGTTGCGTGTAAGAAAAGAGACCATTTCCCAACCGGAAATTTCACGCGTAACTGGTGTACAGGCCTGGTGTTGTAAACTTTATTTAAAGTCTGAAAAGTTGTGCAACTTTGACTAATCTATTAGCTAGGCCTACCTAACAGAACACCCTACTTTCACAAGGCTAGGCCTACTGCTGCTATAACTAGGCCAAGGGCCCCCTACCTTAGACCTAGGCCTAGCCTGCTACTGTTTTAAATTTGTTTTATTACATGGCACTCTGTGTTACTGTTAGGAGTAAAGTCTAGGCTAGGTCCAGCCTTGGACAGTTGACTTAATTGGGATGGGGAAACAGCTGACTTGATGGGTGGGGAACGATACCGGGGAAACTGCTAATTTGTGGGGAACTTGATTAGAAACAGCTAACTTGATGCGGGACATTTGACTTGTTGAAAGAGACTGATTTGCTTAATTAAGCTTCCATAACCAATTCTTTCTAGAATTTATTATTAAAGTCAATAAACAAAATTGAAGTGAAATTTCTTACCAGAATAATTGACTCAATTCAAACTTTACAAACAGTATTGTTAGAAATGCATCTGCAATATTAATAACTGAAGATGCTCAATAAAGAATTTAATCCACAGAGGGTTGTCTTAACATTAATGCTCACATTAGGTCAGGCCAAGAACAGGGCCAAATCTTGACGACGGGGAGCTTTCGATTGCACGACGACGGTAGGACATAGAACGTAATGACATCACAAAAAATCATCTGCACATGCACACGTCGCGTGTATTCTCAGACATTCAGAGAACATAGGACGGCCTATAGGACAGTCACGCATGAGTGATTCCCTTCTAACGTTGCGTCGTCACACAAATCGAAACCTCCCTATTCATGTTCTGCCTTATTTGCTATATTTTTAATTATTTACATAACGTGTACCGCTGATAATAGCAAGAATTAGAAAGCCTGGTAAAACTTTTACCTGCCTATCATGAAAAAAAAAATAAAAAATTAAAATTCATGTTTTTTGTATATATACTGTACAATACTGGAATTTTATTGATTTTCTTTTTTAAAATTTGAGTTTCCTGTAATACCAATTGATACTTATTTTACCAGTGTTGTGTCATGTAATTATCACCCAATCTCCAACTTGCCTTTTATTTTAAAACTTGCTGAGAAATGTGTTGCTGTTCAAATATCTCAATATTTGACACAAAACCAACTCCATGAACCTTTTAAATCTGCTTATAAATCTGGCCATTTGACTGAAGCTGCTCTAAACCGTCTTCTTAATGGCTTAGTATTAATATTTAAGATTCTTTTGCTTGTTTTTAAATTGCTCTTTTTTAAACAACCATCATATTTGCTACATTTTCTTACACCATACTCTTCAACTCGTACACTTTGTTCTTCCGATAAATTTCTTCTTAAGCCCCTTTAAAAAAGAAAAAGCAAAAAACATATGGACAATGCTCTTTTTCTGTTCAGGAACCTTATCTTTGGAATCTGTTACCTCTCTCTGTTCGACAATCTTTAAATTTAAACTAATTTAAACCTAATTTGAAATCTTTTTGGTTTACAAAATCGCTTTAATTGGGTTAATTGTTCTGCGTCTTTGATAATGTTTTTTAAATTGGCGCGTTATAAATTTTTGCATATTATTATTATTATTATTAGGCCAAGTAAAAAAAAAAACATGTTTCACGTCCGGCTTTTTTTAAAAATTGAGGAAGAGGCCTTTTTTATTTTTTATTTTTCAAAATGGCCGCCATTCTACAGACTTGTTGACATTTCCCGTCTAGTTTTGTACAACATATAAAAAGACATCACAGAAGATTAGAAGCTGTATACTGTTTATTTGGCAAGAGTGTTATTGGGTATTATAAGCTTTTTTCTATTCACAGTGGCATTTAGGAATCATTGTTACTGTATACAATGTTCCCGATTATTATTATTATTATTATATGTTCAATTGGTATTTAATGGAAACACCAAAGATTGCGATTTAGGAAATGATACTGGCTGCAGTATATGTATAAATAAGGCATTCATGTCGATGGCATTCATATCGATGGCATTTACATCAGAAGCATTCAAATTGATGTCATCAAACCACAGTTTCTATTTTTAAGGTATGTCACCCACAAAATAACACCTATTTAAATTTCAATTACTAAGCCTTGAATAATGGATTAGATTACAAAAATATCTTCCTTGAATAAGGCTCACCTTGCTTTATACATGAATGTGATCACTATAATCTTGGCTTGGCCTTGAATTTTGAGTCTAGTTGTATTTCTGAATGGAAGCAAGATATGCAGTAGGTATAGTTGTATGTAGTTTTAAACATACAGTACAGTCAGAAACTATTTTAATTTTTCCAGCGTGCAGGTTTCCTAACTACATCGTAGCCTGATATAAACAATCTAGGCCATGCTATGAAGCAAACCTACAAAGCAAAAGTGTGTTGTTTATTTGTACCTGAAAGACTGAGCTTACTGGAATAAACAATTTATGGCTGGGTCATTTTGTGAATGACTGCACAAGTTTAGACCGTTAATTTAAAGTATGGAGCTGTTTTTTCCAATTAGAAGAAATGTACACTTGATTTGATGAGTCGCCTCCCTTCCACTTGCTGTCGACGACAGGAACTTGTTTGTTTGTAGTTGCTGTACATCTACATTGTAGAACATTGAACATCCTGGCCTACCAGAACATCCTGGCCTACCAGAACATACTGAGAGTCAACACCTATATATTTTCCTTCTTTGTGCGCACATACCTCTCTGGAATAAGTTGCCAACACCAGGGGCGGGTTGCTATAAAACGGTTTTAACTGGTAGTCTTAACTTCGCGAATAAAGCCGGCTTTATCACTTAGGCGGTCTTACTAAAGTCATTCCTCTAAGACCATTGCTATAAAACAGTCTTCCCTAAGACCGCTTTGAGTATTTAAATGCAAATAAGCACTTTGTAACGAAAGATTTGGGGTGACGTCATGCGTGCTCGACGCACGCAAATGTATCGAAATTAACGTAAAAAAACGTATATCTATTTTCACAGACGCTCTGAGAAGCGTGCTGAATATTCGTCTTTCGATTCTCTGACTTTGACGATCTAGGCCTAGGTCTTGCCATTGCACTGTTGAATTAATCAGCAGAACGCCATGATGAAAATGATTTAAGACTGTTTTAAGCCTCCTCCAAGTAGGCTTTAAAATTTTAGACGGCTCAATGGTTAAACCGCGGTATAGCAATGGTCTATAATCATAGACCAGTAGTGACATCATGATTATAGCCGGCTAAACGTTAAGACCACTTATAGCAATCCACCCCAGTGGTAACAGCACCAACATTCACCCAGTTTCAAACCTTGGCACTGCCAGTACTGATGGGTCTAACACAGGGCTCTGTGTTAGGCCCATTATTTTTCATAATCTACATAAGTCCAATTGCAAACATTGCAATTGGACACATGGCCTAAATATACACATGTCTACATTTCATGTACGTAAACATAATGATGAATTTTCAGTTCGTTCACATATCGAAAAATGCTTAACTGAAATAAAACAATGGATGACATCCAACAAACTCAAACTAAATGATGAAAACAGAGATCTTAATCATTACTTTCAGACGTAAACAGAAATTAGTTCATAATGACCACCTACAGAGTGATTCATCTACAATAAAAGCTGCCCGATCTGTTTGTAATCTCGGTGTCATTTTTTACGACACCATGTCCCTGTATGTCAGTCATCATATTTTAATCTATGAAATATCGGTAGCATTAGGAAAACGTTATCGGATAAAACAGCTTCCATAATCATTCATGCTCTGGTGACTTCCAGATTAGATAATGGCAATGTTTTATTTCTTGGTAGAAATCAAACGCTACTGAAAAAACTCCAGCATGCTCAGAATGCTGCTGCATGTGTTCTGACCTTCACCAGAAAGTATGACGGTCTAACACCCACTTTAAGGAAGCTGCACTGGTTACCCGTAAACGAAAGAATTAAATTTAAAATTTACATAATCTAACACCATATTTCAAATCTACTTACCCCATATGCTACTGTCAGTAGCCTCTGGTCATCTAACAAAATTCTACTCACCACTCCAAGAACAAGGATATCATGGTGATAGAGCGTTTGCATTGCATCAATTGCGCCAACACTTTGGAATGAACTTCCAAATAATATAAAATGTTGTATCTCTTTTTCAACATTTAAAACACTACTCAAAACTCATCCTTTTGACTTAGCATTTGGTTAGCGTATTACTTTACAATTTGTTCTTGTATTTGGTATTCATTATTAAGCATTGTTAGAATTGTTTATTAAAATGTAAAAAGGACTGAAAAATTGAGGTAAGTAACCTGGAAGTAATGAAAAGAAAAATAAAGCTATCGTGAGGAAGGAATAGAAATAGGTAAGAAACAGCAAAGGAAAAGAGAAAGAAAAGAAAAGGGACAAGAGGAAGAAGGAAAAGAAATAAATAGAACACTATTAAATGAAATATATGAAAGTAAACAACTAAAGAAAAGAAGGAAAAGAAACTACATTGAATGAAAACTGAAAGGCTAAAAAGGAATAGAACAAACGAAAGTAAAAGGTAGGTATTAAAAATGGAATGATAGATTGAAATGAATTAAATTACTAGAAAGAAAATGAAAGATTGAAAAGGAATAAGAAAGAAAATGAATAGATTGTAAAGTAATATGAAAAAAGAAACGAATAGATTCAAAAGGAATAACAAAGAAATTAATGGATTGAAAAGTAATAAGAAAGAAAACGAATAGATTGAAAAGTAACAAGAAAGAAAACGAATTGATTGAAAAGTATAAGCAATAATTATGTAAACTGTGTTTTTTACTTGCAGTACCATCAAATTTTCCTTGCAATTTTTAAGCAATGTTAATACAGTAGAGTCCCTCCTATGAAATTCATCTATTAGGGAAGATCCCCTCTAGTGGAAAGAAAATTTGTTTTAATTGACAATCAGCCAAAACCTGATTATTGAATGGTAATTGTGAAGCAACACAAATAATCTGTTTTGCTTATTGCCGGAATCATGGGTGGATGCTTATGTGTCTGAACAGTTAATACTGCTACCAATTGAATTAATAAGGTGAATAAAGGGCTTTAGCCAAATAATTTGATCATGTATCGTAAATGGCACAAAATATACGTACAATAAGCTAAAATAACACAGCTGTGATGGGGAGATTGATTAGTTTCGACCCATTAATGACGACTCATTTATACATTGTAGATGGTAATGATGAATATGGTGATGTGCAATTTCTAAATGGAAATGTTAATCTGATGAGATGACCAAGATATTTTTTGGTAACTGTAGACCTACACAGTTGACCTGCTGCGAGGCAAATTACGAAAAATATGATTTTTTTTATTGAAAAAAAACGAAGGGTTCGAACACTACTGCAGACAGTACCATGGAATTTGTATGAAGGCTACTTATAAAAATGCTAAATTTTCCCCTTAAAGAGGAGATTCCTTTTGTGCCTTTTTTTTTTTTAAATTACGAAATATGATTTTTTTATTGAAAAAAACGAAGAGTTTGAACACTACTGCAGACAGTACCATGGAATTTGTATGAAGGCTACTTATAAAAATGCTAAATTTTCCCCTTAAAGAGGAGACTCCTTTTGTGCCTTTTTTTTTTAAATTACGAAATATGATTTTTTTATTGAAAAAAACGAAGAGTTTGAACACTACTGCAGACAGTACCATGGAATTTGTATGAAGGCTACTTATAAAAATGCTAAATTTTCCCCTTAAAGAGGAGACTCCTTTTGTGCCTTTTTTTTTTAAGATCAGAGGGCAGAAAAAAAATAAAATGTTTTCTAATTTAGCAAATATTTTTTCCAAAAATGTCGAGATGGAGGAGAAAATAAAAATGAAATGTTATTGGTGAATGTAAAAAGTGTAGTAATGGGATGGTTAAATGCTTTAAATTGATGTAATAAAAAGTAATATACATCATATTTTTGGAGATTTCAAGGCAGCGGTGGCATTATAAAAACAAAGAAAATTTTTTTTTTTTTTTTTTTTTTTTTTCCCTGAAATTTCAATATTTTTCATGCAGGCGGGTGTGCTAATTGGCTAGAAATTAAATTTTATTTCGAAATCATCATTATCGGTGGGCGGCAGGTTCACCGAACACGGTATAAAGAAAGTCTCGCCTAAAGTTGGATTGGATTGGATTGAATTTGATTTATTCGGTGTAAAAACCAAGGATAGCCCACGAAAGTCTAGAAGAAGACTTATTTCCAGTGGGGTCCTTCTGGTGGTGATTGGGTAGTACACCGGGAGACAATCCCCTACTCTTTTCCGAAGAGTGTACTGCGTTCTTTAACGTACACATGGGTCATAATGCACACAGGACCAACGGCTTAAACGTCTCATCTGAAAGACGGTGCCCTATTGTAACTTGTATTTCAGCCCTCTAGCTGAAACACAAGGAGAGGCAGCAATAGGAATTGAACCGGGGACCTAGAAATATCCACGGTTCAGCGCACACACAGCGGCTACCACCAGATTAGCCGACTGAGCTAAGCTGTTCTCTCGTTAAAGTTAAAAACAGATAAATTATGGAAAGTGAATGACATTTGATACGGTTGTTTTGTACTCTACTTCCTGTTTTTCTGTTATGTGAACTAAAACACAGAACACTTTTCTAAAGGAAGGCCCTCAATGGTGGGAAAATATACCATGCGTAAATTAAATCACTAAAATTACTATTTGGACAGACATTAGTTTAGATAATATTATCTGTTTTTGGAATTGTGAGAAATTTGTAGGTTTGTTAGTTTGAATTGCATCTAATACTTACTGTATTCAATCATAAATTAGCTGCCTTGTCATCTTTGGAAATGTCCATGTGGTGTACTCATTCTGACAAACAAGTCCTGGATCACTAACTCTAGGTATAAATGTTCATAAACAACAATGCTCAAAGGTCATAAAGGTCAATTCAGAGCTGAATATCAGTTTACAAATTTATACTATGGTACTGTGGTAATTCATGTTTACTTTATTTGGTTATACAATAGTAATGTGACTTCTTTATGAAAGCTATTGAATATGTTATGTTGTTACCTTTATACTGTTTATATATTATTTATTATTTTTTATCCATTTTTTACAATTTTTTTAAAAACAAACTTCGAGGGGTATAGTACTGTAACTGTGCCTTTGATCATTTTTTACAATTGGCGCATTATAAATATTTGATTATTTGTATAAATGGTTTTATATTTATTGATGTCTTCTTCCTTATGATTGTATTAAAGATTGTTTTTGCACATGAAATTACCATAGAAAATGTCATTATACCATCAAAATAGCAGCACCAGCACTAGAATTTCATTTCTTAAATACCTCTCATGTTAACTGTTATCAAATTAAATATAAAGTAGTATATTACCGGTAAAATATCTGAATCGTAGCTGATAGTGTGGCCAGATGCAGTTTACTTAACAACATTATAGCTTTTATTTTGTTTCCTTGTTGGCATAAAATTACATTCACATATTTTAGTGCATTGTGGCATTGAAATAACTTTACAAAGATTTAAAGCTCTAAAGGATTACAGCCCTATACTACTGTGGGCTTGCCGCAAGTCTCTAATTTATTGGTTTTTCCCTAGTTAGATATTTTCGAAAGAGTGGCACCAGCGTCTGGTTATATTGAGAATTCGGATCGCGGTAAACACAGAAAAAGTATAATATGGAACGTCAGTGAGTACAAAGGAACGCCATCAGTGCCAATCGATCAATTTTTAATAGTTTTCACTGATTCAAGGCAAAATTTATGGACTGGAATCCAGTCTACTATAAATCAGGCATGGTGTTGAATTTACTTTGAAAGACCTGAACATTAAATTCTTGGAATTTTAAATTTAGAGTTAATATTTTCTCCATTAACTTAATTTATTTTCCTTATGACATGAAATAACATTCACAGACACTGCATTTAGACATTTTAATAATATATTTAATTTAAATGTTTTAAAATGTCTGAATGCACCGAATAATTTAAACTAAATTATTATTTACATTATTATTATATTATTATTTATTTAACAATTATTGTTTGTACATATTGAATTGGAAACATTCAGTAACCTCTCTCAATAATTTACAGAAACTAATTTATTTTTTGGCAATACTGTGTAAAGTTGTTTTGAGATCTGAACAGCGTGTTGAAAAATAAAATTTTAGGTAAAAAGCTGTCATTAGAGAATAAGTTAACAAATTTTTCTTTTAATTATGCAGTTGAATCTCTTACAAATTTTACCACAGGCTGCAATATTAAAATTTTCATTGAAGTACTTTTATTTAAAAGAAAAAAATTCATTTATAGTGGTTATTTTCAGGTATTAACATGGATGATTTTTCTATTACAGGCTCAGATACCACTCCAACTGATAAGTCTTTAACTCAAGCTGTTCCAACAAAAAAAGCTTCTGACATCCTCTCAAAACTTCTAACACTTACTCCAAAGAAGAACAATGCAACTTTACCAGTGCCTGTGGTATATAATCCTTCCCGTAAGTTTTTTATATTTTTTAATATAAATTTCATCCGTTTTTTTCCAAGGTAACATAATAATAAATGTTTTAAAACTTGCAGGGGTGTAGACAACTAAGGCTGGGTGGTGGTAGACATTTTAAGGGTGGATCATAGGCTTAGACAGCCTATAAGACAGCCACTTTTACCGAGATGACTTGGACGGCTTGGCCTAATCAGTTCAGCCTAGCCTAATTGGGCCTGGTCTACCTTTAGCAAATTCTTTATATTCTTCAAATCTATCGAATGTTACATTAAACTAAATCTAAATCATATTTACGTTTGATAAAAGCAACATTTATTGATTGAATGCATGTTATTTTCATCCCAATATATGGTGGGGATTCCCAAAGATGGGCGTGGCTTGCCCATCGGCACAGTGCCACACCCACTAGCTTCTATTTTGGATGGCCTATTTCATTTTTCTGGCTAAACCCTTGGGGTGGATCAACGACCACATTTGTAAACTTTAAATAGTAGATTGGATTTTAAGCATGGGCAGGGG